ATGAATGAAAAATTGATTTTCGTGGTATTTTGAAATCGGAAACATACTGTGTTCAACGGTCGATCCCTGCATAGGATAGGTAGGGATCACTATACCCTTTGAACCTTCCCTTGTGAAGACAGGTTTACTCTACTGACGGTATGGTAGAACGCGATGTCTTTGAACCGACTGCCGTTTGTGCAGATGATGACATATCTCACACAGGAACCTCCCAACCATGCTCTGTTCTCATGAGTGTGCTCATTTTGGTCGTGGGTCACCGTCCTGGTTCTGCAAGAGAGTTTGTGAAGAATTGTGCCCATCAATTCTCCTTTGAAGCGACCCTCACTTCTCTCTCACATAGGTGATTCTTTTCCGAGTATCCCGCATACTCACACATGTCAACCGAAATTCGAATCATTAAAGCATCAACATGCTAACCTTGCGCGGGAGCCACTGTTTCTAACGAGAAGTGGTAGGAAGTCCGAGACCCCCACAGTGACACGCTCCGTTCCATAATTTAGTTGTCCCATTGAACCTAGGTGCCAGCTAGGTTGGGTATCCACTATAGAACTTTTAGTCCAAGGGCTTTAGACCCATTCCTCGTTCCAATTTCTCCACAACCATTTGCTTACCCTCGGGTTAGCGAGTTAGCGGCCGCTACGTTATCTTTTGACATCACGTAGTCAATAGAGATAACCCCTGTTGTGAGAAATTGTTTAATGGTATTATGTCAACGACTTATAAGTCTAGACTTACCATTCTACATCTAACTCTGTACTTAACCAATTTTGGCTTGACCATCGCAATGCACACAAATTGGAGGTACGAGTTTACCACTAGGAACATTCTCAATATAATGGCATAGCCATTCGGCCTACTCGCTCGCGACACGAGTGTAAGGATCTCAGCTTTGATCCCGTCGGATCTTAGCTATCACAAATTAATTTCGAGAATTTCCGTCCAACCGACTGCACTGGCCTACGTAAAGGCGTAGCCTTTGATGGACTTAGCGTCCTTTGATATCCGTGCTATACTTTCCAAGTACGGCCAGATATCCCACGTTGTGCAGTCCAACGTCACGAGCATACCTTAAGTATCTCATAACTTCTATTGCCTTCTAGTGCGCAACACTAGGGCTACTCATATGTCTACCGAGTTCGTTAACCGCAAAGGCAATATCTAGCCTAGTACAACCCATTTGATACAATTAAACTACCAATAATCTGAATGTATTCTCCGTGAGAAATACAATTTCCGTGATTATCGGCTAGTTATACGTTAGTATCTAACGGTGTCCAAGCCACTTGATTATACAATCAACACAACGAGATTGGCTTACCATGAGACCATACGGTCTTCTCACGATTTTAATCCCGAAGATTAAATATGCCAACCCCATATCCTTCATGTCAAATCTGAAATTTAACATGTTCCGGGTATATTTGATCAACTGATCGTTACTACCCACGATGAGTTTATCGTGTATAAACAGATAGTGATATCACCGTCTATTGTACGCATTACGTAGACAGTTGTCACCTTTGTTTATACTAAACTCATTACTCATCATTGTATGATCAAAACTTACATGCTAAATACTAAGGCAATTGTTTCGAATCATACAATGATCTCACCAATTACACACTTTCTTTTCACATCGTGGAACCACAAACCCTCAGGTCGTTCCATGTGTACTAAGAAAGCGATATATCCATTTTGATGAACTTCCAAGTCTCGCCAAACGGCTATGGAAAGTATCATACTAATTGATTTTATTCTCATCACGAGAGAATATTTATATCGAAGTAACCGTGGCACTCGCGTTGCATGTAATCTACAATTACAAGCCCGGCCATTTTACTTCAATATAACCAACCGGTTTTATCTTCCGACTAGTGATCTGTTTAGGATCATGAGGTTTTACAACCTAAAGGAAGAACAACTAGTTCCAAGTATGATTCTCTAAGATAGAATCTACTTTACTCTCGGTAGCCTCTCTCGGGTTGGTCCACCTGTATAAGTCAACGCTTCTACATACGTTCGAGGCTCCTTTCCTAACAACATGTCAGAAAATCCAATTTATTTTCTAGTAAACAAGTTAGAATATGCGCGTCACATTCTAGCATGTACGTCAGAAAATCTGGACCACGGGATTTTTTAATCCTAGCTCTCTTGCTACGTCTAGCTTTGAGCTCGGGTTATCTTTCATACCCTTCAACCATAGTTACGCCGAAAGTTCCTTTCAACGTGCTATGTCCTTTATTGAACCTTCACAAAGATACATCTTCAAAGAACGATGAATTACTTGATTCAATTTATTGTGTTCTTACGTACATCCAAACTATAGGACTCGTGTACTAAGAACCAATACACACCTTTGGCAAGACACCCCCACATTTCAGGCGTTAGTAGGAAAATTTCCTACGTACCCACAATTCGTAAGAGTTTCATGCGGATAACCTTATTTAAAAGGTACTTACTTGTCCAAAGTATTGTCTCACCTCACATACTTTGAGGTAGACCGGAACTCATCTATGTCTTGATATTTATGTTCGGCAACAACGTTCGATTGAGGTGAATACCGTGCCGTACTCTCGAGTACAATACCAACGCTTGCGCCGAAATCACCAATAGGTGTTTCACGTTCACCACATTGATCGTTCATAACCGCATTAATCCACAATTAATTTGGTTATCCTTTTATTCTTATAAAGAATAGACATGTGCTACACGTTAGCACATCTCGTAGGTGCGAACAGATCAGCACTTACGAATCCATTCAGTTTTGACCGAAATACCATAAACCCGAATCAGTGCTTCCGAAATTGAAGCACGAATCAGTGCTTAGTATGAAGCACGAAACATGCTACACAAAGCACGATTCATTGCTGCAACTTAAAGGGCTGACCTCAAAGCAATCTTCCATTGCTTTAAATTATAAACCCACAACAATCTTTCGTTGCTTAGTTTACAATTTCATTGCTTATTAGCTAATTCCAAAATTAGCCAAGCATACTTTCGTTAGTGCTGTCAAGCACTAAAGTAACACGAATCTAGGCAATGCTAGTTACTTAGCACTTTAGGTCCTAATCTCAATTCAACTCACTGAATTGAGTAATTCTAATTCCAAAGGAAATTTCGTGCTACACATTAAGCAATTAGGCTTTATTAAGCCTCAACACTTAATCAACCATATTAAGCCTAATCAAGCTTAATTTCGGGTGCAACAAATCAAAAGCTCAACTAGCTTAATTTGACGTCCCAACAATTTGTCTCAAATTACATTTCATACTAGTATAATTTAGAATTTTGATCAAGTTAATTATAACACAATTAACAAGAACAAATCAACCAAATTTCCGACTAGTTGAATCAAACTCATATAATCGTTCTCAGAATATTATTTAAATATTCAACACACGAGCTGTGGCGCTCATGATTATATAGTTATTCCAATTTTTTACAAAATGATCCTACTTTGAAATCTGTATCGTTCAACATGAACTAGAACCGAAGTCCTTTTACGGGATTTCAAACATGTAACACACTTGTTACATTTCACTCCGGCCGTTAAGCCATTTTAGCATTTTCCACATAATGCTTCGTGATGCTCTACGCACCCTTATTGAATCTTATATATATTAAAAATATCACACAAGAATATTTTAAAATATACAAAGTTCAATACACACAAATGGAACAATTCATTTTATTCAACAATAAAATGTATCACAAGGATACTAAAACATTTATTCAAAATAAATAAATAGGAAAATTACATTGGAAACACATTTCCGTATTCCTATCTCGTAGTAATCCTTCAACCCGTGTGCCTTGTTCCATTTTCCAACCGTCCACCCACCAAGGGTGGTCCATAGGGCACATCGGGGGTACCTCGGTTGTGACCTCACTCGTCCAACCATCCACATGTTTTAAACATAGCGAAATTGTCCTCAACCTTTTCACCAGGATGATGGTTCGCTTCGTAGTGACATTTCTCCTTCTTCTCATAATCTTCTTGAAAGTTAAGAGGGCGTTTACTAACAGGAAATTTTCAAGAATTTTCGAAAACTGAAAATTGAAAACAAGCTGAGGTGTTTACTATGCTTTTTTCTCATTTTCAAAACTGAGAATTATTTTCTCTTTTTGCAATAGTTTAGAGATACAATGAAAATGTGTTTTCAAAATTGAAAACTAACGGGTGAACAGTACCCAGTACTATCGAATCCTGGCAGACTCTTTTTCTTCTTTCTTCCTTTTCTTCTTTCTTCTAAATACATTATGATTGTAAATCCAATATGGCGTCTATTTAGCAAAAATACAGAAACAAATATGGCGTCTATTTTTGTAAATCCAAAACAAATTACTACATTTTCAAGATTTTAGATGGGCAAATTATTGTGTGGACCATGGTCCACACAATGTTATGTGAATCATAACAAAAAGTATATTTTTAATATACTAAATGTCAGTACTTTTGTACTGAATGTACATTATACAATATAATGTAAACTCAGAACAAAAATAATGTACATTCCCTGAATACAATGTACATTATTTTTATACTGAATGTACATTATTTTTGTACTGAATGTACATTATTTTACAGTAGACAAAATATGGTCCACACAACTTGTACGGACCATGGTCCACACAATAATGATTGGGTAACCTTCCAGTAAATATATGTTCTCACTTCTCTCATGCCAATGATCGTGGGAGGCCTATTAATTTCAATTATTTAACTTGGCGTAATTTAGTACTTCTTGAGTATGTTTTTTTTCTCAATTGAATATGTTATTACTACGTTATTGAAGGTGATTACCCAAATGCACCCGGTTTTTTGGCAAATGCACTATGAACAAATTATAATCATTGATGGTGTACTCAATTTTATTTGCAATGTTTTGTAATCACACTTCGTCACGAAACAACTTATTTTAAATTATTGCAATCAATGTTTTGTAATGACCTTTTAATTTGTCACGAAATAACTTATAAATATATGTATCTAGTACATATTTAATTTAGTAAGTGGAGAATGGATTTTGAAAATAAGTACAGGTAAACAAGTTTTCAATTTCAGTTTTCAAAAACAGAGAATAGAAAACAGAGAATTTTCAAAAACAGAGAATAGAAAACAGAGAACAATTTTCTGTTAGTAAACGGGCCCTAAGCTTCCGCTTAAGTTTCCTTTGATTACGGTTGAAGTCATTGGTCACACTACCGTAGTCCTCAGACAATGTAGTGGTCACACCATCATAGGATCCTTCGTGGCTTTTAACCGATCCACTAGGCAACACAGTAGGTACCAATTGTGTGTCATTAGCCACGGGTCTACCGGTTCGTGAACCAACGTTCTCCGGAGCACCATCGTGTGTTTTTGCAACTCCCATGGAAATATTATTTCCAACGTTGCTGCCGTCAACCGGCATCACGGAATGTGCAACATCGTTGCCTTTCCGACCATTTGAATGTGCACCTCCGGCAACATTCACGGATCCAATACTCTTGGAGTCCATCGACTTGTTCATTATCAAAAAATATAAGGTTTTAAGATTGTTGGTGATAATGAACCACAATCGATTTAATATCCCAAAAATAATATTTATATATACACACACAAGTATATAAAATATTATTGGATATATATCCGAACTATATATATACACACAAATATATATAAAACGGAAACAAAGGTTATATATACATGTATATCTACGAAAAAGATATACCAATATATATCAACCAAAATTGAAACTAATAATCCTCAGATTATAAGTTCAATCCAACTAATATATCAAAAGAGGGAGAACGGATTTTTGCTTAAAAGCATAATCCACACAAGAAAGAAGGAGAAGGAAGAAAGAAATGTACGAGTTAGGCGAGTGTCTTTCTTTCCTTAAAATCTTATTTGCCACCTCCCAAAAGTGCTAGGAGCGTTGTGGCCTAGGTTTCCCAGGATAAAACGTACAACGGTTCGACGTTTGAGCACCCAAACGAACGAACCCGGCGAACAAGAGCACGGGCAAAACACAGCTTCAAGAATGGAGTAGAAGCAGAAGTATTTTGAGGCTGGAAAAATTATTTTTCTTGTGTGTTGAAAATGCTACTGCTCAACTCCTTCTTATATAGGGAATGAGGAGTGAATAGCCTTTATTATGGCATTTAGGGGCATCCCTACAACTCCTGTAACAGCAACCATTAACATGTTTTAATTCAAAATAAAATTGGAATTAAATCCAGTTTTCCTTCTTATATAGGGAATGAGGAGTGAATAGCCTTTATTATGGCATTTAGGGGCATCCCTACAACTCCTGTAACAGCAACCATTAACATGGGTTTTAATTCAAAATAAAATTGGAATTAAATCCAGTTTGCAAAGTTTGCTTGATCTAAGGCTTTTTGATCTCATTCTGGGATTTGATTTGCACCCCCCCCCCCCCCCTGCGCACGAGAGAGAGCCTCTATGCTATACAATTCAATAAGTTTAAAAAGAGCTCATGTATAAATAGTGGAGCAAATCCTCTTCCCAAACCAATGTGGGACAAAAGCTCATTTTTTCCCTTCATTTTCCAACTCAAATGGGTCTACTTTGAGAATCAATATCTCATTCACCCATTATCCGTTTTGAGCGTACAATATATCAATCTCTTCGTCTCACTACGAAGAACCTGAATCCACTTTGAACCGACCCAAATCAGAAGTGGACCCCACTGATAATTGTACCACAAAATAGCCACTTAATATGCCATTTTAAGCTATTTTTTCCAACAAGGTATGGGTTGGGAGTGTTATCGACAGATTTTGGGGCAATTAAATTATAAACATATACTACCTCTGTCCCATTTTACCTGTCTTACTTTCCTTTTTTGTTTGTCTCAAAATAGTGTCATCTTTCCAAAATTGAACATAACTATCACTCAACATTTCTCAATTTACCCTTTTGACTTTTCAAATTTCTAGAGGTAAGTACAATTGTACTTTGTACAAATAACACCTACTTTTGAGGGGCAAAATTGAAAAGTTAGTAACATTTGTTATATTGTATTAAAAACTGTGCAAAAAGTAAATGAGACAATCAATTAGGGACGGAGGGGGTCGTTATATCGTGCACCTTGGTGCATGATCAATCATGCACCGCGCGTCAGACACTACAGTGTGTCTAAATCGACACTATCTCACATATTATTTTTATATTATCAAAATGATACTGTAGTTGTGGTGAAATGAAACTACAGTATATATAAAATGAAACTGAATAACATTTCACATATTTGAGTGTATATTGTACAATGAATCTGTAATTATATTGAAATGATCATGTAGTTGTGTTTTAATGAAATTATAGTGTATATAAAATAAAATTAAATAACATTTTCACATATTTGAGTGTATAAATATTGAATGAAACTGTAGTTATATCGAAATGAAACTGTAGTTGTGTTGAACTGAAACTGCAGTATATACAAAATAAAACTGAAGAACATAGTTATTTTTTGCTAAGATTTTATTTCTTTTCATTAAATAAAACGACGTTATTTTGACAGTGTCAGTTTAGACATACTGTAGTGTCTGAGACGCGGTGCATAATTGATCATGCACCATGGTGTATGATATAATTTGCCTACGGATGGAGTATATGTTTAGGTGCAATTCTTGAAGCCCAGCCCATTTGTTTATCTTCCTTTTGGGCCTTCAACACACTAGGGTCCATACCCCATTTTTAAATAAAAAAATCGTAATTATTAACAACGTCATCGACGTGATATGCTATTTTTGTAGTAGTGTGAATCTAGACCAAAGTAACCACTTGGGCCGAAATAGAATGTGAGGCCGTCATTACTTAACCTATCAATTATAATGAATATGCACTCATAATTGATGCAATATGAACTCTAGTCCATAATAAAATTACCCACTAATTTCAATATCTAGTATATTTAAATTCATCAATTACCTTGATTCTAAATATTGATTTCAAGATTTTAAAAATAAAACGAAAATAATTTCTAAATGATTATGCAAATAAAGGAATGTAAAATGTTTTGTGGATAGGGTGGGGAGTCGTGCAAGGATAGGAAACAAAGTTTTATTAGGTGAAAATAAAGAAACCAACCCCGGCTTCAAAAAAGAAACCAACCCCATACCTGATACCCCGATGCGAAAAACTAAATACTCACCAACTTTTCATCTTTCTCTACTCTTTTCATGCTTTTCCCTTTATCTGATTGAATCCCAAACGGAAGTTGTTTTTGAGGGAAATCCCAAACGGAAGTTAAGAAACAAAAATACTGAATCCATCCATTCACGAGCTCCACACCAAGTTCATCACGCCACCTCTGCTCATCCCCAATATCTTCCACGTCATCTTGCCACCTCACCCGACAGTCAAAATTTTTTAAATTTGGAATTTTGAATGAGGATTAATTAGGACTGGGTACTGGTTAGATACACCCACAGCTTTTGTAAGAATGCCTTCAATTCAAGAAGACTTATTGGCTCAAAGTCTTCGGTGTTTGATTATATATACGCATAATTGGTGATTCGTGAGAGCCAAGAAACTGAAGAAAGTCAGAGTGAAGAAACCCAGAAATTTTATAATCACTGTCAAGATTTCAGATCATCAATAGTCTAACAATATGGCCATTAACAGAGACTTGAATGCTTCACAAGTCTCTCACCCGCAATATTTGCCAGATCCAAGGCAGGCCACCTCCACTTCACGAAACAACAAGGTAACCCTCCTCTCTCTCTCTCTCTCTCTCTCTCTCTCTCTCTCTCTCTCTCTCTCTATTTGTATTCCTAATTAACATGTAGATTGAAGGATGAATGGTTGATTTCTAATCATATCGCAGCAGGCTCAAGAGGTCAGCAACACAGATATGACGAGTGGGGATGAAGGCAGCAGCATCATCTTCTTGAGGAAGATTTTCGTGTTCTTGTTCTACTTGCACCTTTTCTTGGTTACTGTGTTGACCATCTTTCTGACAGTGAGGGGAATGATTTCTGCTGCCAATAATAAGCACCGTAGTTTCCGCCCCCGGGAATGGTACTCGCCGATCCTTGCTTCAACAGCTTGCGGTGGAATTGTTGCTCTCGCATGGCCGGCCATCGTTTTCCGCAGCCCTTCGCGAGGAATCATGGCTGTGCTGTGGCTGAGTCCTCTCCTCAGTCTTGGAGTCGCCATTTTACTCATCTATATAGGCACTACAGGAAGCTCGGTAGCAGGGGCATTGGCTCTCATCTCTGCATTCGTTCAATCCCTGTATTCATGCTGGGTTAATCCCAGGATTGAGTATGCCGCTCGGGTTATATCCATTTCCACATCATCTTCACGAGCTAGTTTTAATTATTCTTGTATGGTTTTGTTGTCAATCGCAATTAGTACCCTTTACTCCAGCGTTGCCATAGCTGGGATTGGAGGAGCCAGGGCAACAGCAACTCGCCTTGATTTCGTCTTCATCGTCGCCATCATTCTCAGCTTCATATGGACCCTGCAAGTAATCAAGAACACACTGCAAGTCACAGTATCTCACATCAAATATTACGAATTTGCAGCGGCAATACAGCTTGATGCCAAGGAAGTGTTCTTGAACTACACTGCCAAGAATTCAATGGGGACCATCTGTTTCGCCTCAATCCTTGTCCCTATCCTCACTGTAATCCGGGGCACGGCCCGAGCAGTGAGCCAGGTTTCAGGAGATGTGGATGAGTTCTTGTTCTCCTGCTCCAGCTGCTCTTCAGGCATCGCCTCGTGCCTGGTGGCATATGGGAACCGGTGGGGCTTTCTGCGCGTGGGGGTTCACAACAAGGGGATTGTGCAGGCATCATCTGAAACATGGGAGATGTTCAGAAGAGCAGGAATGGAACAGCTCATCAACTCCGATCTCACCGCCTCAATCTGCTTCTTCTGTGGAATTGCAGGGGGAGCAGCTTGCTCACTTCTGGGGGGATCCTGGGCATTTGCAATGCATAAGACTTATGCAACAGAAATTTCACTATACGCTTTCCTCATCGGATATCTAATGAGTAGAGTGACAATGGCGTTGCTGCAGGCTTGCATTTCAGCATATTACATTGCTTATGCAGAGAATCCTCAGAGCCAAAGATTTGATAACACTATTATCCCAGCTTACATTCAAAGGCTGCAAAGATATGGGGCATAGGACTGGAACACACACACTCCATCACCAAATATATATTCGATCATACCATTCATTCATCTCTATTCCATGCCATATGATTCTTTCCCTGTAATTACTGATTCTACTGCAGGCCAGGATAACATTTTTCTTGGATAGTCTGATATATAGGAGCAAAATTTTCCACATCTTAAGTACCATATATACTGATTTTGCTTTTTAATTTCTTAACTATCTTCTTTTTGCTACTTTAGTTCAAGATTCCCAAAATCTTGTATCCAACTTCTTGAGGATTATTCACCACGGCATAATCCAATATGCATGTTCAAGTTAAACTCCATTTTGCTTAGCTTTTTTGGGAAGAGATGATGAATGGAGAAATATGGATAAAACACCAATCAAACCCCTTTCTCTTTATTAAGTTACAAGATTCAGTGTCCAAATGGCTGAAGAAAGCCTTTTAACTGGTTCTCTGCTACTTGCCTAAGGAAAAGGTGGAAAGGAAGAGAGAAAAAGTGGCAGAAAGTGCAAAGCCTTTTATAAAGCACCAAAAGCTTATTTCATACTTAGGATATATCTAAAAACATATCTAATCTGATATAAAAATATAATAAGTGTGGATGAATGTTATAACCTTCATTTATGTCCGTTTTTCCGTTAAGTTTTTTTTTTTATACATTATGCTATAAAAGTTGTACTTTACAATATTTTGGACAAATATACTTTTGCTGTTATAACTTCCGTTATTTTTTCCACTATTGTTATCATGTACATGCATCTACCATATATTTTCTTATCTTCTTCAATAATAATAATAATATATACACATTATATATATATATAGGGAAGGGTTCAGGTGCGGGTATAGCTTCCCGTGCGGTTGTGCGGTTAGATCTGAGCTGTTTCAAATTTAGATCAACGGCTCAAATCAATAAAAATTAAAAAAAAAAAAAACGCGTGTCGGGAATTGAAGAAGATAGCGTCTACACAAATGTTAGCGTCTACACAAATGTTAGCATCTACACATAGCGTCTACACAAATGTTAGCGTCTACACATAGCGTCTACACAAATGAGTAGCGTCTACACAAATGTTAGCATCTACACATAGCGTCTACACAAATGAGTAGCGTCTACACAAACGATAGTGTCTGCACAACCTCACGCACATTAAGTACAAACCCCACACACATTAAGCACAGCCTCACGCACATTAAGCACAAATCCCACGCACTTTAAATATTAACTCACAGATTTTAAGTTTCAACAACTATTGACATTAAGCACAACCTCACGCACATTAAGTACAAACCCCACACACATTGAGTACAACATCACGCACATTAAGCACAAATCTCACGCACTTTAATATATTAACTCACAGATTTTAAGTTTCAACAACTATTGACATTAAGCACAACCTCACGCACATTAAGTACAAACCCCACACACATTAAGCACAACCTCACGCACATTAATCACAAATCCGCTCACCTTAATTTTGACCTACATGCAAAAATTAAAAAATTGCCACCGTATTTTTTTTTTTAAACTTTGACAATTCTGAACGTTGATTTAAGCGAGATGAATGGTCCAGATTAAACCGCACAACCGCACCTGGGCACTCTAACCGCACCAGAACCTAATTCTATATATATATATATATATATATATATATATATATATATATATATATATATATATATATCAAATTCATAAAAATGTTTTACATTATTGTTATTATTATTTATAATAATTTAAATATTTAAAATCTAAATAAATTTAAAATTTTAATATAAAGTACTAATTTTGGACATCTATGTTTTGCGCATCGCGCATGAAAAATACTAGTATGATATATAAATGTCAAGATAACGTAAAATGACAACATTAAACGAAATGAAGAGGTTCTAAAGAAAAAAAATGAAGAAAACATTTAAGAAATAACAGAAAAAAATGAATTTAATAATAACTTTAGTAGTGTAATGAATTAATAGAAATTGTTGGAAATGTTAGAAAATATCTGTTTTGGGCAGTGCTTTCTTGCAACCTTATTTATTCAAGCAATTAGAGTCTTGAGGAAAAGAGTAGTTTTTTGGGCAATCTAGTTTTTATTATGCCTCTTCCAAATGCTTCTTTCATGCCGATATATTGATATGTAATCTAGAGTAATACAAATGAATGAAACATTGTTCTGTTCTTCTAAAACAGCCTTTTAACATGGTATTAGAGCCTTCTTTTTGGGGCCTGAGAGTTCCTTAACTTCCGATAAATGAACTGTGTTCATCAACGTAACATTTTTTAGATTATCCATTATTGGGAGCTTTCTTCACGAGTTGGTGCAAAAAAAACCTTCAAAAGAAGCATCAACAATTGTGATCATCTTTTCCAGTCACCTATAAACTTCACATGTGCCACCATACATCCTGACCTTCGACGGCACGCATCGGCGCATCAGCATTTTTCTGGTGTTCATTTCTACCCAAATTTTTCAGATCAATCTGTCTCTTCTTTGTGACCCTACGATGTTTTTCTCACATTTTTTTTTGATAATAATGGTAGAAGAAGAAGTTTTAAATAGTGCATGTCCTAGATCCTTTTTCCTCCTGTCCAACCTAAAATCTATGTTCCAAATCTCTCAAGGAGCTTAATCATCACCAATGAAAAACTCATTGAGTCCCTAAATTATCTAGATTGGGCATCAACATTGGAACTGTGGTTTAAGGGTCAAGGAGTTGTTGATCATCTTACTACCACAACAGAAGAAATTTAGCATGAAAGGAATGTTTAAGAGAGAGTTGATGCCCAACTATGTAGTCTATCATGGATATCTCTTGCTCCCGATTCGATTCTTATGTTTAATCCATTAAAAATCTATTTCGGTATTTCTAAATATGGAAACAAGCCCAATCCCTTTATACAAATGATATCTCTCATTTTTACTACATTGTTAGTCAGATACTAAATATCAAAAAGTCAGAGATGTCAATGGAAAAATTCCTGGGGGAAATCAAGGATTTATGGATAAATTCAATAAGCTCATGCCTATTGGAGGATCACCAGAAGACAAACTCACCCAATGTGACAAGTTCTTTGTTGTACTTACCCTTATCAAGCTTGAATCTAAATTTGAGCAAGTCTATAATGGTATGATGAGAACTGAATGAATTGTATTAAGTAATGTAATTACAAATATATAGATTACAGGTATATATAAAGAGGGGAGATTGGATAGGGAATCATAATCTAACTCAAATACATAGAGTCCTAATACTCCCCCTCAAGCACAAGCTAAGGTACAGTAGTGACTTGTAACTTGTCTCTAAGAAAATAAATTAATAAAATCTAGGGCCAGGTAGAGCTTTAGTAAAGATATCTACCAGTTGATCCTTAGTCGAAATAAAATTAACCTGTATATTTCCATTTGCAACTCTGTCTCTAGCTAACAAACTGATAATCAATTTCTACATGTATCTAGCACCAAGATTATCACACCATAGCATGGGAGTAAACACACTGGTCATGCCAATTTCACGCAGCAGAGAGAGAATCCAAATTACCTCAGCACAGACATCTGCTAGAGCTTTATATTCAGCCTCAGTAGATGATCTAGCAATAGTTCTTTGTTTCTTACATACCCATGATATAAGATTGGAACCAAGAAAAATAGCATAACCACTAGTTGGCTTACGATCCTCAAGACAACCAGCCCAACCATAATCAGAAAAAGCATGTAAATCTCTAGACACTGACTTCCTTATTCATAGACCATAAGTAACAATTCCTGTAACACCCCGTGTTATGACCTTCGAGTCCGAATTAATTATTAAATTAATTCCGCTAATTAAAATAATTAAAATGGATTTAATCCAATTATAATTCCCTTAATTAACCCGGGTGGTCCACGATGAATCGTGAACCCTTACCTGTACCAGGAACCTTAAACCCATAGGGAATAGGGAAAGCGGGTCTTATTACTCAGACCTTGAATAGGTTTCCCTTAAACATATAAATAGGGGATTAGGAAACAGATGGAACCGTTCCTCTCCCTTCTCTCACACAAAATCACTCGCAAGAACCCTAGCCGCGGAAATCCCCCGCCAGCAAGCCTAAGAAGATCAATTAGAAGAAGAATCTTAGAGAAGAACCTTAGTAGCCGGGGATATTGGTTAGGGCTAAGAGGTAACCCATGTCTTACAAAACCTATTTTCCTTTCTATATCTTATTCATTGGCTCCTTTGATATGTGATTCTGTGTTTGAGTCTTGATAGAGCTTTGACTAGGGTTTATATTGTGTTTATGTGATAATCTTGATGTTCTTGATATTGTGATCGATTATATGAATGATCTTGTATTTTGATTATGTCTAGAGCCCTAAGGTTTATATCATGAATTTCGTGTTATGACGTTCTTGGTATAATTGGGTGGGATTATGCATGATCGGGTGTTGAGTCTAGCCTAGGACTTTGTATATAGGTTTCTTGATATTCTTGTGGTTCCGGATGCTCCTGAACCGTTATATGATTTATGTGGGGTCTTGGTATGTTTAGGAGTCGTGTTAGAACATATTTGGTATGATTCATGGTTTAATCCCGTTAATTGAATAGTGGTGTTGTCGTTATGTGTTTGGACAAGATTTTGGGTTCCACGAGAGATCCCGGGACCGAAAGTTTCATGTGAGTCAGTGGGGGGTAGGTGGAGGCAGGGGTGCCCGCCACCTACCCGCTGCCCCGTTGCCCCCTTTCCAGCGAGCAGCCGGCGGGCAGGCGACTGCCCGCCGGGCACCCGCTGGAAAGTACGCCCGCCGTCGGCGGATGGTTCTCCACCCGCCGCCCACCAGCTAGAATCTTGGTGTAGGGCGTGGCATTTTTCCCCGTCTGTTATTTTCCCGTGTCCCGTTGTACCTCGTTTGTCGTGCATGAGTCTCGTTTGGTGTTTTGGGTATCGTTCTAGGAATTTATGTGTAATACGTGTCGTTGTTGTTTTGTCTTGATTGTTATTTGATTATGTGTCGATTGATTGAATGTTGATGAGTATCGTTGTCATTGCGTAATGGCCGGTGTGAATGATGATGATGGTGATGATGATGATGATGATGATGATGATGATGATGATGATGATGATGAGATTGTGATCGATGGAAATGAATTTTTGGCGGTTGGCACCACTTGTGCCCGGTCATTGTACTAAAGGTACAGGCCTTAGCGGTTACTGTGCTAAAGGCACAACCCCACATTTGACTAGCTTGCCCTTGAGCATGGGTCAAGTTATAAGTGTTGCGGTGTCATGTCAGAGCTATACGCGCTGACCCCTTGATATTGGGACTAGAGGTGCGGATCATGTGAATGGCACTGCAGCACCATCTTGATATGTTGGTGGTTGATAGGTGGTTTGTCGGTGGGGGCATGTAGTTGCCCGGAGGAATAAGGGGTGGTGATATAAGGGTGGCCTAGAGGTATAGGTTGGAACTAATATAAGGACGGAGGGGAGCTACAAGGTTGGAACTTGGTATAAGGTTGGAAGATGGATTGTGTGCTTTGATGACTACTTGTTAATTGATTGTCTTGAATGCCTTCGTTGCCTCTAATTGTTATTTATATGCTTATCTGTCTGTTATGCCTTGTATTGCATTCTTAGGATGCATATTAGTCCTTATGATTATTCTATACTACTGAGTATGTCATTGTATCTTGAGTCTTGATCTTGGATTTAAATTAGAGTCTCGTAAGTATATATGTATTCCAGTTTCAAAATGAGTTTCTTATATCTACCTATATTGTACATAACGCGTTTGAGTGGGTTACCAGCATTATTCGTTGACGGTTGTTACACTGAATGTTTTTCAGGAACAGTTGAATAGCTTCGGAGCGCGCTAGTTGGATTCGTGGACTTAGTTTTAGATAATTCCAGCTTTGATAAGATGGTCTACGTGCCTTGGTTTATATTTGGGTATTAATTACACTTTGTTAGTTAGTTTAGCCTGTGCATCTGAGTTCTCTAGCTCAGGTGTGGTATAGCACCCCGACTATCATGCTTAGTTTATGCTCTGTTTGGGAATTAATAATAGATTTGCCTTTATTCCATAAGTTTTAAATATTTTAAAATTTTGGGGTGTTACAGTTGGTATCAGAGCCTAAGTTCGACCCTAGGATAAGACCCCTAAGACGAAACTTTAGGACATTAAGTTCGGACTCTATGTGCTTGAGTACATAGGATCTAGAAAACTTAGGACGCGCGGTGAGGCAGTGAGTTTATTTTCCGTCTTATGCTTAATTCCCCTTAACCTGTATCTACAAATATATACTCTGTGCTTAGCATAGGAAATTCTTGCAGACAATGACGCAAACCCCTAACTCACGCCCACACCCGGTATTAAATCTATAGACAACCGGGATAGCACCATCAGGAGAACAACCAGAACCCCACATGCACGATCTCCTGACTCAGAACCTGCAACGATTGACCCAGATCGTTCAAAGACTGAACCATGCCTTAGACACCAATAATGATCCAGCCCCAATAGGTGGAGACCACGACTTAGTACGCCGAATCAGGGAATACAACCCCCCTTCGTTCGCCGGCGAAGAGAACCCTGAGACACTCGAGGAATGGATTCGGACTTTCAATAAGATCTTCGAGGTGACGGATTGTCCAGGGGAACGACAAGCCAAGATAGCTTCATTCTACCTTCGGCATGATGCCGACGTATGGTGGGCACAGACAGAACCAGGCATGAGCTGGCCGGCCTTGCAAACCAAACTGAGAGAACATTTCTATCCACAACGCATCCGTACGGCCAAAAGCAAAGAATTCCTACACCTGAGACAGGAAAACGCCACAGTAGAGGAATACCATAAGAAGTTCCTCCGAGCTGACCCGCTTCGCCAGCGAGTTGGTCCCTACAAAAGCCTTCAGAGTGGAAAGGTTCATTTCCGGGCTCAACTTCGAAAGCCGAAAGGCCTTGACTACGAACAAGCCAAACACACTCGAGAAAGCCTATGCTAAGGCAAACAAGCTCTAACAGGTACTACGCAATCCACGGGGGACACACGAGGGACACAAAAGAAAACTCGAGGGAAGCCACGCAACCCCTCCACAGAGATTAAAGGTTGCCAGGGCCACCCCACCCTAAGGTCGGGAGAAGACAATGGCGCAGGTCCCAGAGGAGGGGGCGAAAATCACCCAGGGAAGGATCCTTGTCATGAGTAGAGCCCGAGTCGGAGACAACGACGTAGTCACCGGAACCTTCCTCGTGCACACCATTCCTGCCATCGTACTATTTGATTCAGGAGCCACCAAAACATAGGGACGGACCGTCGACGGCTGGAGCTCCGACAACAACATTTTCACAGGAATTTAAACGGCAAACATTTTCACAGGAATTTGAATGGCAATTACGAGGAAGCTTAGCTATGCAGCACTGCTATATGTGTAGGCTACAGTGAGGACTGAGAGGCGTTTTGGTCGTGAGCTAGAGGAAGAATTAAACAAAATAGAGAAGAGAGATAATGCATACTTGATCAGGTTTGTTCTTTTACATTCTGAGTTAATCTTTTTTTTTTTTTTTCTTTGGGGTTCTTTTTTTGCCATATTTATATTGAACTGCCCAAGGCTGTTAAGGAATATGTTGATTTGACTTCCTTGGATGTGGTTGATATTTGATTTTATTTTTTTTCTTTAATTGGAAGAAATTTGATATTAATGAAGGGTTCTTTGCCTCGCGATAATGGCAGAGAGAAAGAGAACAGAGACGAGTTAGCAGGTGGAGAGCGGGAGATAAGAGGATCAGAGGTTGCTGACGCTGAGCATGAGGCCATTTGCAACGGAAAGAGAGAAGATCCGAAGGTATAGGGCAGGGATGAGCACTGCAGCCGCCGTTGAGGAGATGGTTTCTCCGGCTGTGGAAGTTAAATACACTCAGCATATAATCAATGGCAAATTTGTGGATTCAGCTTCTGGTAACACTTAAGACCATGGTTCTTTAATTACTCTCTGTTCAGGACAAAACAATTCATTTTTCTGTTTTGGTGACTAGGAAAACATTCCCAACCTTGGATCCCAGAACTGAAGAATGTATTGCACATGCAATGTAGCAGAGGGTGAAGCGGAAGATATAAACCGCGCTGTGGCATCTGCTTGCAAGGCTTTGGAGACCGGTAGTATGCTGTCTGATATCAAAATGAATAGTGGTATATATTTCTTCTTTGGTACCCCTAATGATTTCATTCTTTCCAAAATGCTATTAAGGAATATTGTAAAACTCTAATATAACCAGTAGTATTATAGTTCAATCTTTGTGAATAAAGATTTTTTCCTTTAAAACTGGTATTCTTAAATAGTTCAATCTCTGTGAGTAAAGATTTTTCCTTTGCTGTGTAGTACCATAGAGAATCACTATGCTATTTGATCCATTTTGAAGGTGAAAAGGTATATATCTTTATTGTAAAATATAATTTTATGTTGCTTTTTTAATTTTATTGTTTGTGATTGATGTTTTTATCATTATTTGTTTCGATGTTTGTCTCTATCTCTTTTGTCAACCTTGAAGGGTTTCAACCATGGTTGCCAATCATTGTAGATGAGAACTTGCATGATGCCATTTTAAAATTTGCAAATAGTAGTAACCCCTAGAACAACTTGTATTGTATTACAAAATCTTGACTTGGTGGATACAAGAACATGCAAAATGATGAATATGCAGAAAGGCTAATCCGGTGAATCAATCTCCAGTATTGAAAACATGATCCTTGGCTCATTTGGCATCTTCAAAAAAAATATATATATATATATATATATATATATATATATATATATATATATATATATATATATATATATATAGAGAGAGAGAGAGAGAGAGAGAGAGAGAGAGAGAGAGTTTAATTGGATTCAAAACTCCTATAACAAGTTGTTTGTATATTATATTTAGAGTGAATTCCATTTTTGGTCCTACTGTTATAGGGGCGTTTCCAATTTCAGTCCACTTTAATTTTTTTGCCACTTTACAACCACTGTTATTGAATGTGTTCCACTTTTAGTCCACCGTTAATATTTTCGTGAAGAGGCCGTATAATCAAAGGGTATTTTGGTCTTTTTATGTTTGTCTCTTCTCTTTTAATCCAGGCGCTTCGTCCTCCTCCTCCGATATTCGAAGATGGCTCTTCGAACAACGAGAATGGGAAGCCAAAGCTACATCGTTTCGTTCGTTCCAACATGGGCCGGCGAGGTTTCTTAGGTTTTATATTTAATGTTCTCATTTATTTAGTCAAACATAGTCTTGGATGAGAAGAAAGATCAAAATACCCCTAGATTACACAGCCTCTTGATGAAAATACTAACGGTGGGACTAAAAATGGAACACATTCAATAATAGTGGTTATAAAGTGGCAAAAAAAATTAAGGTGGACTAAAATTGAAAACGTTCCTATAACAGTAAGACCAAAAATGGATTCACTCTTATATTTATTAATTACTTGCCTTAGTTTTGTTGCATGAGTAAGTTTTGAATAGTTTTGTCAGTGCATGAGTAAGTTATGAATTTACCATGTTAACCCATTTTTAAGAATAATGTTTATTATTTTTTTTGTTTGAGTTTTTAAAGTGAAGGATCTTGGGTGTATGTTTAGTGAAGAAAGTGGCCCTTTGGAATAAGAAAATTGTATTGATGAGTTTACATTGGACGAATTAACAATTATCATATTCTTTTTAATTTTATTGTGTTGAAGATGGTATAGATGAGATTTTTTTATTTTTTTATTTTTTAGATGAATTTAGACAATTGAAGATTGTATAAGATGTTTTTAATAATTTTTAATTTTAAATACATTGTATTAAAAATTTATTATTTTAGCTAATTACCCATTTTAAATAGTAATTCTTATTTAATTGTAAATATCTATATTCATATTTTTTTAATATCAAATCAACATACTTATTAAATAACAAAACTATATATAAGAATGGATAAATCTCAGTTGGACTATTGAGTCACTGTGATTTACATTCTCTTTCAAATACTCTATTAGGTAGGGTGTGGGGGCTATTTGGGTTGGGGATTCGGAAAAAAATAAATGTCATATCTTCTTTTTATATATGAAATTTAATAACATTAATAATTTTTAATTACATAGCATAATTTAAATATTTCAAATTTCAAAGAAAACAATTCCAGTTATTAATGATTTCATATGCAATGACTATCAACGAGAGTTAATGACAAACACTCTCAAATATTGGATTATTATTGAAGAAATCGGTTTTTGTCCATGATCAATTATATGTTGCTACATCTAGAGTTAACAATTCCGAGGGTCTTAAAATATGGGGGTCTTAAAATATTGATTTGTAGTGACTTGGATTGGATTTATATTTCCTACTAATGTGATTTACCAAGAAGTTTTTAATAATTTATATTTTTAAATAAATTTTACTCAAGTCTTAATAATGTTTATTATTTTAACTAATTAGTCAAGTGAAATCTCAATCTTTAATTGAATTTCATATATATATATATATATATATATATATATATATATATATATTATCGTAACTATTCAACAGAGTTATTACATAAAAAAAATTTATAAATGAATAAAGCTTTCATATCATATTTACACATGAAATTTATTTACAATACTAATTTTAGTATTATAAAATAACTTCAATATTTAAAGCTTTCATATACTAATGTTGTTTACAAAAAGATTTTTAGTATTGCTTAGTTTTTTTTTTTTTTTTTTTTTTTTTTTTTTTTTTTTTTTTAATTCAAACATTACGTTTGTTACTCAATGTACATGTTTATCTAATTTAGATTACATGATTAGTATAATTTAACTATTTTTATATTATTCTATTTTTTAAAATTATGTATGTTTTTATATGATGTCATGAACAATATGTAAGATTTATTCATAATATAATGCAACTCTATTATATATGGCCGTGTATGGCACGGGACAATATCTAGTTCTTATAATATTCAAATCCTATCATTGTCCATTCTCAAGATTTGAGTGGGATGTATATTTAATATTTTCAAATCGTCGTCTCTCAAGATTTTATAAATAGGATTTTTTTTTTTTTCATTCAGAAAGTTTAATTTTTGGATCATTTTCACTTCAGATTAAAGTTTATGGTTAAAGCATATTTTACCCATGAAACCCATTTGACAAAGCAATCTGATTACAATGAATTATGAATTCAATAAGGATAATTATTTGCTTATGTACTATGGAGACAAAAACAATTCATGGCCGAAAAAATGTTTATTACAAATCAAATCAAATCTGTATATAGTGGGAAAATATATACTCATGTAAAATATTGAATCTCACAAAAAAGTCATAAATTGTAAACCTTAGAAATGGTCTAATCTAATAAAAGAAAGCTAAGGCAACCGACAAAAAAGTGAGTGGCAAGGCCGCAATAGCCATAGAAGGTGCGGCGGTGCTAGGCGGCGGCGGAGAATCTACGGAAGGGACAGATGGGGTGGTGGGTGCAGGGCCAGAGGATGGCGGGGAGGCAGGAGTGGCCGCTGGGGTTGATGCTGGAGCCCTAGGAGAAGGCACCGGTGCGGGGGTGGCACGCGGTGGAGAGGCGGCGGCGGATGGCTGAGTTGCCGGAGCAGTTGAAGCGGCGGCGGAGACATTTATAGCCAACTTTTGGCCAATTCCACAGTGGCCTGGAAAGGAGCAGATGTAATAGTGCTGGCCAGCAGTTGTGAGGGTTATATTTGCTGGGCCATTAGTGTTCTGAGAAATTGGGTTTGTGGCATTGCATCCATCAAAACCAGCCCTCGATACTTGAGTCACGTCATGGGCTCCTGTGGGGAATCTAAAAACTGCATGTGAAACAAGAGAAGTTTAGTCGTCAAAAGCAACTGAAAGCTAGCTAGATGAAAATTAGTTTGTTGTGTTCTTGCTTACCAAGAATATCGCCGACGGTGAAGGTGTTCCGGCTAGCCCAGGTGGAGTATGTGGAGGCGCCGCCGTTGGTGGGAATAGTCCAGCCGGTGGTATCACCCACAACATGGGTGGTTTGTGCAGATGATCCATGCAACATGGCAGCAGTTGCAACCAATGTTATAACCAAAGCCATGCTCAACTTGTTTGCCATTTCTGCCACCAAATTGTGTTTAATTTTCAAAAATATGGTCGCAGGTCTCTCTCTCTCTCTCTCTGAATCTCTGATGAGCTCTCTCTTCTCTCTCTTTATATATATATATATGTGTGTGTGTTTGATTCTTGATTCTTTATGTGAAGTGATAAAGAAGAGGTGTGGTGAAGATGATGGTGGTGGTGGCAATGTCATGAACTAAAGTTTGTATTTATACAGTAGAGGACGTGCCATTTCTAGGTGTCCTGTTAAAAAATCTTGAACTGGCTTCTCAAAAAAAAAAAAAAAAAAAACTGTAAATTAAACAAAAATAATTGAATTGCGAGAGTCAGGCGTGGTGTGCTTACCAATCTGATCAAAGCGTTGAAAGGGTTAATGTGAAAGGGGTTGGAGGGCCCTGATTGGCTGTGATTGAGATATCGAGAACTTTTGACCGCCGCATCCGCGTGAAGCCTTCTACTGTTGCGAATCCCAGTAACCCCTTTGACCTTTGAGCCAAGAACCATTGACTAAGTCCTTAGTCAATAGCCCAACAAACTCATTCGAAATTGGATATGTGCTGAAATGGCAAAATTATTACAATTGTGTGGAACACGGTTCAAACGACGTTGTTTTGGTGTTTAAATATAAAATTTTTGTTTCATACACGTGTTAGAATAATAAAATTTTTGGGTTAGATAATATATTTTATGAGTTAGAATAATGTACTTTATGTGTTAGAATAATATACTTTATATGTTAACCCCATTATTGGTGCTCAAATTGAAAGGGCTAATTGTGGAGCGTCAGTTTAGTGTTTGTTTAGAAACTAGAAAAATGATTCCCGAAAGTCATTTTTCAAATTATTTTGTGTTGGGTATTCAATGAAAATAACATCAAAAAGAAAAATATTCAGTTTGATCAAATAATAAAGATTTATTATTTGACACCAAATAATGATTCTTTAGTACTCAAATAATGAACATTCAAAAATTGAACATTTACATCATTAAAAATGTACATTAGGTCAATGGTTCACCTTACATGATAAATCATGGTTTATGGTATAGTGATTGTTTAGAACAATGAACATTTTGGGATAAAATCATATATTTATGAGTTAGAATAATGTACTTTATATGTGTTAGAATAACAAAATTTCTGGGGTAAGATAATGTATTGTATTTTATGAGTTAGAATAATGTACCTTTTGTGTTAGAATAATGTATTTTATAAGTTAGAATAATGTACTTTATGTGTTAACGTTATTATTGGTGCTCAAATTGAAAGGGGTGGGAGTTATCTGACTTTATTCTTGGGGACAATCAGGTCATTACGATCAACGAGTTGAGGGAGCTATCTGACTTTATTCATGATTCTTGGGGACAATCAGGTCATTAACGTTATTATTGGTGCTCAAAATGACTATTGATGCGGAAAGGAGAGAAGTTCTTTATCAGCCCTACATGGATGCGAGGAAGATCACCTCCTCTCTACGAGTATGGCTGATACCGCCTGCTCAAGCGAAGGCGGCCACGCCGCGAGGAAGATCACCTCCTCTCTGCGAGGACGGCTGATACCGCTTGCTCAGGCGAAGGTAGCCACGCGGTGAGGAAGATCTCCACCTCTCTGCCAGGATGGCTGATACCGCCTGCTCAGGCGAAGGCGGCCACACCGCGAGTAAGATCATCTACTCTCTACGAGGATAGCTGATACCGCCTGCTCAGGCGAAGGCGGCCATGTCGCGAGGAATATCACCTCCTCTCTGCGATGATGGTTGATACCGCCTGCTCAGGCGAAGGCGGCCACGCCGCGAGGATGATCACCTTCTCTCTGCGAGGACGGCTGATTCTTCCTGCTCAGGCGAAGGCGACCATGCCGCGAGGAAGATCACATCCTCTCTACGAGGATGGATGATACCGCCTACTCAGGCGAAGGCGGCCACGCCGCGAGAAAGATCACCTCCTCTCTGGGAGGACGGCTGATACCGTCTGCTCAGGCGAAGGCGGCCAAGACGCGAGTAAGATCATCTCCTCTCTGCGAGGATGGCTGATACCGCCTGCTCAGGCGATGGCGGCCACGGCATGAGGAAGATCTCCCACTCTCTGCGAGGATGGCTGTACCGCCTGCTCAGGCGAAGGCGGCCACGCCGCGAGGAAGATCACCTCCTCTTTGTGACAATAGCTGATACCGCCTGCTCAGGCGAGGGCAGCCACGCCGCGAGGAAGATCACCTCCTCTCTACGAGGATGTCTGCCACATCGCGAGGAAGATCACCTCCTCTTTGTGACAATAGCTGATACCGCCTGCTCAGGCGAGGGCAGCCACGCCGCGAGGAAGATCATCTCCTCTCTACGAGGATGTCTGCCACATCGCGAGGAAGATCACCTCCTCTCTGCGAGGACGGCTGATACCGCCTGCTCAGGCGAAGGCGGCCACGTCGCGAGGAAGATCACGTCCTCTCTGCGAGATTGGCTGATACTACCTGCTCAGGCGAAGGCGCCCACGCCGCGAGGAAGATCACGTCCTCTCTGCTAGGACGGCTGATACTGCCTGCTCAGGCGAAGGCGGCCACGCCGCGAGGAAGATCACTTCCTCTCTGCGAGGATGACTGATACCGCCTGCTTAGGCGAAGGTGACCACGTTGCGAAGAAGATCACATCCTCTCTGCGAGGATGGTTGATACCGCCTGCTCAGGCGATAGCAGCAACAGCATGCGGAAGATCTCCTCCTCTCTGCGAGGATGGTTGATACCATTTGCTCAGGCGATGGCGGCCACGCCGCGAGGAAGATCACCTCCTCTCTGCGAGGATGACTGATACCGCCGGCTCAGGCGAAGGCAGCCACACCGCAAGGAAGATCACTCCTCCCTGCGAGGATGGCTGATACCACCTGCTCAGGCAAAAGCGGCCACGCCGCGAGAAAGATCACATCCTCTCTGCGAGGATGACTGATACCGCCTGCTCAGACGAAGGCGGCCACACTGCGAGGAAGATCACCTCCTCTCTGCGAGGATGGCTGATACCGTCTGCTCAGGCGAAGGCGCCCACGCCACGGGAAGGTTCCTGGGGGGCTTGTAGGTAGCCATCCTTGCCCACTGAGGGACTTGGCAGTTTGGAGGTTCCTCGGGGGCTCATAGGCAGCCAGCCTTGCCTACTGAGGGACTTTGCAGTTTTGAGAGGTTCCTTGGGGGCTCGCAGGCAGTCAACCTCGCCCACTGAGGGACTTGGCAGATTGGAGGTTCCTCGGCGGCTCGTAGGCAGCCAGCCTCACCCACTGAGGGACTTGGCAGATGAGAGGTTCCTTGGGGGCTCGTAGGTAGCCGACCTCGCCCGCTGAGAGACTTAGCGAATTCTCGAATGATTGTTTGAGGTTGATGGACGGCGAGCAGTGCGCGCACACATAATAAATAGGCCAGAAGATAAAGAAAGCAATTGGTGAACAAAAGCCCGGCGGGCGAGAAATGCATTCAAAGGGGCCCTGAAGAACAGACTACATTTTAAAAATTGAGAAAATGAGAGATGAACAGCTAGTCTATTCTAAGTTAACCCCCCCCCCCCCAAGCTAGTCTGACGGGAACGTCTTCCTAATGAGCTCGAGCTTCAATATGAGTAACGTGACAAAGGCACACATTCTGTTCGCGTTTTCCTGCAAGCTCGCGTGGCCGGACGAAAACTGGGGGGACATCCACCCTCTCCGTGACGGATTGTAACACCCAACTTTTCTATCTCTTAATCACAAATCTAAACCACAATTATCATAAACTAAGCAGCGAAATTAAAAGTTAAAAGATAACTAGTGGGAATGTCACCGCCACAACCACCACTCTGTGGTAATTGCACAGGCTAAGGGGTAGAACTAGAAACAAAATAAATATCTAACATCCATAAAATAAACTGATATCATAAGGGGGAAAAAGGTCACCCCAAAAGTCTACATCATCATCGTCTAAAATTCATCATAAGTCTAAAACATGAATAACAAAGTCATCAACATAACATAAGAGTTTATACATCTCAAACTACGAGACTAATCTAGCTCGATCACTTCTCACTGCTGGGTCCACCTGAAAGGAGTTTTGCAAGCAACACATAGACAAATAGGAAAACACTCGTTAGCACGAAGCTAAGTACAACCATGTAAAGTATTGTAGCATATACTTTGAAAACATTTGATTTCTCTTGTAAACAACAAACTCATCTCATAAACATCTTTAGATCTATCATATACTTTCTAGATGCTTGCAACCTATAAAATCAACAAACATACTTCAAAACATATGACTTTACAAATCTAGATACTTCAACATGAATACATCAGAATAAACTTAACAAGCAACTCATGCTTACAAGTAATAACATGCTAATAATCTATACAATAGGTATTCTCATGCTGTCAACTTCTCATCACATGAACTGAATATACAAGGCTTCAAATATAACTATTCGATCATGCTAGATGTACCATCTTAAATCAACATTTTCATTATACAATCACATACAACATTCTACTCAAATGCAATCTTGTGCAATACTATAATCGCATGCAATCTCGTGCAATACTAAAGTCATACTCATATGCAATCTCATGCAATACTATACATCATACTCATATGCAATCTTGTGCAATACTAAAGTCATACTCATATGCAATCTTGTGCAATACTATACTCATACTCATATGCAATCTCGTGCAATACTAAAGTCATACTCATATGCAATCTTGTGCAATACTATACTCATGCTCATATGCAATCTTGTGCAATACTATACATCATACTCATATGCAATCTCGTGCAATACTAAAGTCATACTCATATGCAATCTTGTGCAATACTATACTCATACTCATATGCAATCTCGTGCAATACTATACTCATACTCATATGTAATCTCGTGCAATACTATATATCATACTCATATGCAATCTCGTGAAATACTATACTCATACTCATATGCAATCTCGTGCAATACTAAAGTCATACTCATACGCAATCTCGTGCAATGCTATACTCATGCTCATATGCAATCTCGTGCAATACTATAGACATATATACTCATGTACACTCGTTGTAAAAATAGAGCATGTTCTGTGGAGGTTTCTTTAAGTCATAAATGACTCGCTTTCTTTTCTCTTGAGTCTCTCTTGACTCACTTTCTTTTCTCTTGAGTCTCTATTGACTCACTTTCTTTTCTCTTGAGTCTCTATTGACTCAC